ATGTGGTCCTCTTGATAAAATAAAAAAAGAAAAATTCATTACAATTTTATCCCTTATTCATGTTAGGTTGGATCCTCTATTTCACTGAAATAATAAAATTTCAATGTGTTTGTTGACTGAATTTAGGCTATGATGGATTTTTGTAGGATTTGGTGTTAAAGTGTTAGTGGTCGAGCATTTTAATAGGGTTTGGTCTTCAAAATAAGAAATTATTTATATGTCAAACAAAAAGGCACACCCTTTAGTGTACCCCGTCCCTAAGCATGTCTAAGTGGCGACTAGACAAGCATTTTAGAATACTGATGGCGAATTTTAGATTTGGAATTTGGGTAGTTGTGTTGCGTGGTGGTGATTTTTAGATTTGAGTAGGTTAAATGAAGCGGCGACGACAACATCGATGGTTGTTTGTGGTGGTCACAAAGTGGTACTGATTCTAATTCTGATTCTGATTCTGATTCCGATTCCGATGAAAGTGATGTTGTGGTGGCGTTGGGGGATAGCGAGTGGGCATGTTTGAATTAAGGTATTTATAACAAATGTTGACTTAAAAAGACTGGATATTATTAAGGTGTGTGGTCTGATTTCCACAAAAAAGATTTCTTTTGACAAAAACTAATAATAATAACTATCTTATAGGAAAATAAGTCCCCTTTTGTTAAGCTGATATGTTTGGAATTATTTATAAGCAAAATCACTGTAACAGTTTATCGAACTGCCCTTCATAGACCAAGTTTTCTTTATATAATTTGCAAGATGGGTTGGCATATTTTCAGAAATTCAAGGATAATATGGTAAATTTGTTGTTGAACTAAAAAGAGAAGACAATACTTATATGAGGATAATTATATTTACACCATAATTTGAGGCCTCCCTTGAAAAACATCAATCAAAGCATAAGACTTGAGACGTTTAGTGAAAGCTATACGTGAGGCAAGCCTCAAGGTGTTAGCCTCAAATAGGTTTGTGAAATGACTACACTTAGTCATAGCTTTAACGCCTTCGATTCCTCTATAAGAATCTCTTTTGTCGATCCTTCTAATAACCATATATGAATAATGCTTCTTGAAGGGAACTTGCCTGCAATCCCAAGGAATTGCTGTTTGTGTGCCTTGCCAAATATGATGCTTTAGTAATGAAACTTCCATGGAATTTAATTGTTTGTTCGGAAGTTCTTTTAGCACACGTAAGTAAGTCTAATGCTTTACTCAACATATTGGCGCCAAACAACAGCAATAATTAGACTTCACAACTTAACACATTTTTTATGTCCAAGTCTTGAAATGGCTGCAATGCTTATGATATTTGGTGACCTTCAAGTCTTGAAATGACTGACAAGCTCGAACCTGATTCATGTAGATTGAAAAATATATCATCATTGAGTCGGAAATGAAGCCATTGGTCTGCCAGGTATAGCATCTAGTGTATTATATTTACAACTCTCATTGTGGGATTCATAATTCATATGAAGCTAAATCTCACTTTTGAAGACTTTGGCTATTCTGAAATGTCATTTGTTTAGATTTTACATCTGCATCGCTCATGAGTTGATTTTACCCTTGAGGCTGGTCCTCTTTTTCCCTACTTTAAGTCATGAATCTTCATCCGCCTTCTGGCTTTGAAAAAAGGCTTCGACCATTGAGTGACCAGCTTATTGGGATCTACAATACCAGATTACTACTCACCAATGACATAGATTAAATTTAAAGTGAACTACTGACATTTTTTAGAATTTTTGGTAGAAAAAGATCACAAATGTTGTTTAGTTGTTCCTGCATATGATTATACAACATACCTTTGCTGATTTGCTTCTTATTCTTGGAGTTAATGTCTTTTGTCATGGTAACTTTCCTGAACATTTTCATGGTACGAGTTTGTTAGGAGAAAGAAAGTTCTCATTCTAGTTATATTTGTTGTAGGCTATCCAAGTTGCTGGCCCTATGATTAACTAGGTAGTCTATGACCTTGGCTATAACATTCATCATGATCCTGTTAGGGAATTGTTAATGACCTCATGAGATATAGCTTCCGTTTGGCCCTCATTTTTTTCTCGAACTCATTTTGAATCACATATTTTATTGGATCCCCAATTTTTATCAATTTTTCAACCACACATTTCATCAGCTTTTATTAAAATCTACTAAAAATTTGAAACTGGACAGAGGCAAATATTGCGGCTTGCTTTTTCCATCCTGATAGAGTTGTAAGCTTTGAGAAGGAACAATCTGCTAGTGGAAGAATTCATGATTTCAGTTCGAGTCTTAAGTGTTTGTTATATGAGATAATTTCTGCGAGGCTGATGTCGATGATAAATTGTACGTTTTTGTGCATTTTGTATAGGGAACTTTGAAACTCAATTAAGAAGCTATAAATAGGCAAATGAATCTAACATATTTTACATATTCATTGGATTAATTAGATACATATACTTTCTGAGAGGAACTTTTATTGCTTGCATTCACGAGGGACACCTTGAGGAAAACGTCTCAAGTCTGTGCAGTAATTGTAGATCATGTAGTTCTTTTGCACCCATTTTAGCTTCTTTAGATCATTAACATCCAGCTCTTGATACATCCATCCATTTTTGGGCAAGGGTTTGGTAGAAACACAAGATGTCGATGGCCAAACGCAAGCATTGGCATTGAAGCTTCTATATGCAGCCGTAAAAGGTGCTTTTGTCCAGTCGGTCTTAACTCTCCCTCCTTGTGTTGCCCAGTCATCGGCATTCCAAAGGCTAGAATAGAGTCTCATAGGTTGGCGTTTTGGGTACGGGACACCAATAGCTTCATTGTTTTCAAATACTCTTATTGGAATGTTATCCACCATGAAGCTGAAATATGGAAAAGAAAATGAAGTACATGTGAGAAAATCATGGATTAAATAGTATATTGTTGTCACTTTCAGCATTGATTGAATTAAAGACCAAAGAGCTGGTCGTACATAATGCGCCGAGGATTCCAGATAATGGAGTACTCGTGGAAGGCAATTGTTGGGTCGAACCACAGATGAAATTGTTGTTCTCTGTTCCCTTTACCCTGTGTGAATATATTTGTATGGACTGTGTAGGGTTGTCCAGATGAGTTGCCCAAGAACTCAAAATCAATTTCGTCGTGTGCTGTTCCTTGCGAAGATAACTACAAGAAACATGCAAATTTAGCAAGTGAAAAATCATTTAGCGTGCGTTTGCATGTATTTTGCATAATAAATGATAGAAAGTTTCGAGTTTCGTACATAGTATGTAGTTACAGTGCCAGCCGAATTTCCAGGTACAAATTTGAGTTGCGTGTCAACCCTGCCGAATAAATACTGATTCTTGGACTGAAAACCCGAGCCTGAGAATTTGTCCAGTGACAGAGTAAGCAGTTGGCCTCCATCGAGTATCTTAGCTCGTTGACCACCCCAAGTGATGTCTATATTTTGGTAGAAATTTCCGGCCGAAGCAGTCATAAGATAAGCTACGACCAGAGAAAGTAGAAGTGTATTCGCGACCATTTGAGAAGATAGTGACATTTTCTTATGAGGTATGTTGCTACAAAACTAGGAAGTGTGATATCTGAATTTGCTGATGTGAGTTTGAAATGCTTTATATAGGCAGAAAGAAGCTGTTGGGAAAGTGAAATTCAAGTTGCATTCCTCAAGTTGTTTTTGATACTAAAGGCCTTAGCTGGCAATTGTGAGTTCCTTCAAAACTGGTGGCTTTGGTTAAGTTCCCTTTGAAGTCTGAGTGTATGCCACTTTCGGTACTCTTATTCTCGCTTTCTCATGATACGCTCACAATGTTTTCAGTCACTAGACTTGCTTTTTCGCTCTCATAATATTTGACTTAATTTCATTAGTGTTGTTAACTATCCCATCTAAAAGTTGCAGCGTCACATGCATTAATTTAAATCTTGTCTTCAATACGTCTTCTCACATGCAGATTGAATTGTGACCGTGGATAGTCGTGTTATGAACAACTATGAGACTAATTTAGGTATTTTAGTACAATAATTAATTGACAAGGCATTAAATATTCAACATGAAAGATACATATGAAATGTGAACCAGGTAATGTACAACTGGCTAATCTATTTGCCTTAGTTGGGATGTGGTAAATAACAAAATATTTGTATGTGGCCCTTCCCCCTTTAGGCCTCCCCGAGTACAATTTGAAAAGGCGCACGTGAGTTTATGTAATATATTAAAGCAGGGGCGTATGCAGAGCATTAAAGTTAGGGGGCACAATCGAACTTGTAAAGAAATTGGGAGAAATTTTATAATCGAAAATTTACGTCCAAAAAAATCATACTCCGTGTAATTTTGCATCCGAAAATTTACATGGGATATAACTTTTTCGGATGTAAAATTTTGAAAATTTTGATGTTATATTCCATANGTTCAAAAAAATCATACCCCATGTAATTTTACATCCGAAAATTTACATGGGATATGGCTTTTTCGGATATTAAATTTCGAAATTTTTTTATGTCATATTCCATATAAAATTTCCTAATAAAATGATGAAAATTATATTGAGAATTTATATCGCAAAAATAATAAATATTAATGAAATAATTGATTTTTTTTTTTTAAAAAATGCGAGTTAGACGTCTTTCTTTAAGACTCACGTTTAACGTATTTTTATCTATTTTCAATATCTGTTTGGACTATTCGATATGCCCATAATGTAGTTCTCGAAATGAGCTTTGAGATGACATAAACAATTTGGGAAGCTAGCTTTCTCTAAAAAAATTTCTAGCAGACAGAACACATTCAGAAAATTATTTAAATACGTTTAAAAGTAGTTATTCGTTTTAAAAGGAACTTTTGACTTTACAAAAACCTATCAAATCGACCTAATATTACATAAAAAATTTCAAAATCTTGGCAACTTCGATGATCACGTGAAATTGAAGTTTTAAGTTTTTTTTAGCTAACAATGTGAGGATGCAGTTAACCTTAGACCAAACCATCCTGTCACAGGCTTCCCACATAGTCAAAACCTTTGGAGATTAGTGTCACGGGACTAGATTTCTTA